ACACACACACATAATCTGAAATCAACAACACTGAAGCTTAAGCTGTTTTGTGTTGTGCTGACACAGGTGCTTCTTCGGCACTGTCCTCAGCTCCGTGCGGTTTTCTTCCCTGACCTGCGCCTCCTTGCGCGGGTGTGATGTAGGTCGAGAAGTCAGGCAGCAGCTAAGTACATCTAGTGACTAGGCCATCTGGCTCTGCCCTGACTGATCGATACAACCGTGTTTGCAGCTTGCCAACCAGCCTCTTCTGGCGTGAAATCGTTCACAATGTTGAACTGCTTCCGAATCTCCTTGATGGGATGCGAATGGCACAGCACAAGCAGCAAAAGGAACCAACCCTCCCAGTCTCTCTATCTATCACCCCAATCTGCTAAAATGAACCACGCAGTCCTCTGTGTTCTTGCCTTTGATCATGGAAGCTACCTGGCCGTTAACAAACGCTCGCACTGCCAACTCGCTAATTACCTTGCTCTGCACCTTAGCACAGGTCAAGTCCAGCAGGCTCTTGATGTCCAAATAGTTGGCTGCAAGAATCAGTTCAAAGAGGACCTGACGATCTAAATGATGCAACCGTGATACGGGGGTTGTTCACTGGTCATGGCCTCCTGCTCAATGTTCACGTACTCGTTGTCCCATTCGGATACGCCACACCTTGCAGTGTTTGACTTAGGGACAGCCTATGTGAACATTGCGCCAATCAAATGAATCTGCAAACGAGTCGCTCGACTAAATTGGTGCTCTTCAAAGGCTTCTGAATTTCCTCTGGGGGACTGTCCTGCATGCAGTTTCAAAAATATGTCTCAAACTCCATCATACTCCCTCTATCTCTATCGCTCAAGTGGCGGCGGATTCTAGATGTTTTATGGTTGGCAACCTTGTGGTACTTGCAGTAGTCGATGACCTGTCAAAACGTGCCAGGTCATCGTTTTGCAAACGCGGGGGCGTACATGAGTTCATTCATATCTTCTGCACTTCTTCGGGCCTTGCTGAGGATGGCTGTCTTGACCTTAGGAAATGGAATGCCTTTACTCGTGTTGCATCATCATGATGTGATTTTGGATGGGCCTACGGCCTTCTGATTGCTAAATGGGCCTACTTAGAGACTCTCTGTGCTCTCTCTCTCTCTCTCTCTCGGTGCGGCTGCCTTCCACTCTATGATCACAGCCTCCTCCTTTTTAGCATAGTTGGTTTTGAGTGACATGACTCAGGCTTGGACGTTAGGCAACGGGATCTCTTCATCAGTTCCACTGTCGTCCACCATGTTTCTGACCAGTGTTGACATACAGGCCACCTAACATGTGAGCGAACACATGGGCAGGCATACCCGGGCCTAAGGGTTCATCATTAGAGTTTGACTGGCTTGACCGCTCGACTCTATATATAATATATAATTCTTTACCGGGCAAAAGACCCCAATCAGTGTTGCATGAAAATAGTGCGTGAGAACGACTCACATCTGTCCAAAGTCTCATGTCGGAGACCTAGAGGTCTTGGGATCCGGAGGTCCAGAGTTCCAGAAAGATCTAAAGGCCAAGAGATCCAAAGGTCTTCAGGTCTTGAGATCCAAGAGATCTGGAGGTCTGGAGGTGTATACGCAGACGTCTCCAGGTCTAGGGATCAGGCTCTAGAGGCCTAAAGGTCTGAAGGCCCCTAGATGTCTAGAGTTCTTCTGGGGATCCAAAAAGATTTTAAGTTTAAAGATCCAGAGATCTAGAGGTCTAGAGACTTGGAGGATCAGCGGGAGTGGTTTCATACATTTCTGCTAATGTATGCAGTTGGGTGGGGACTGGTGTTGAAAAGGTGTTTCCAAACAGGGGGGTTGAACATAGAGAAAACATGCTTCAATACTGAATATATGGAAATAGCAAACATGTCTTTTGCTCCTTTGGTGTCTCTGGAAACAACGTTTTCGGGATATGTATGAACGGCGGGGGGTGGCTCAAAACCTGAATGTATGCACAGGGGGGACGTACTCACCTAGGGACCTCTACATTTTTTGATGCAGTTACGGCGGCTATTGTATGAACAGGGGGCAGGGCCAACAAAAATCTCACAAGATGCATGAAACAAGGGGAGGGACAGGTCTGGAGCCTAGGCCAAATGTATGCACACCATGGGGTACAATGCTGCAATAGCGGCAATCACGAGTAAACATTATAAAGATTGTGGGAGGGCCTGTGGGCTCCTGAGGGTGATTTTTGAATTATATTGTTCATTGATTTCCAAAGGTATGCACACCATGGCGGTCCCTGACTCTTTGTATTAATTCTTAATATTTTATTGTTGGTTCATGTGAGTTGCGATGCTTTCTTGTTAGGAATTGTATGCGGTCAAGTCGGGTGGGAACCCCCCTCAGGAAGGATGATTTGCTCAAGGAAAAGGTAATATATATATATATATACAAATATAATTCTATATATGTTAAAATGATCGTGTCTTTGGGCTTCTGGGGGGAACGATGGAGAACGCGCGCATATGCCCTGGTATGCACTGGCTGTTTTGTATGCTGGCTGGGGGCTGCAGGGCCACGGCCCACCCCAGGCAAATTATCAAATTGTATGAACCCAACAGTTTGTAGAACATCCTCGAATATTATGGAAACTGCAAAGCATGGACAAAACGCACCCTTTTCTCAGCATAAACGCTTGGGCCACTTCATTGGCCATGTGAACCATGAAGGTGTGGTGAGGTCAAATGTTTGACACTCCACCTGAGCATCACCATGTAGTGAATGGTGACGCTCACCTAGACCTCACCGGTCTCTCTAAAGCGCTGCAGCCGCATCTCCCAGTCGTCTTCCCATTGATTGCTTACCACAATCACTGCAAACTGCGCAAATCCTGTCCTCTCATTTCGGTTCCAGCTCAGGATATGATCAAAGGCCATGTGAGGGAACATAGCCGAGTGCTCAGCTGCAAGCCTTGTGCGCAAAAACTCTTTCAGCAAATGGTCGGGGAAAATCTCCGCGTCCTTAAGCCTTCGAGCACGCCTCTCCTGGGCATCATCTTTCTGATACCTCAGGAGTGTCTCCATGTCCCACCAATCCGCATTCACTGGTGGGTGACTCCGATCAACCTCGCCAGATGATCTTTCTTCAGAGGAGCCAGAAGGAGCAGAGAACATGGTGATGGATTGGAACCCAGATGTGGGAAGAATGCAGAACTATAGGCTGCTAGATGATTCAGATGATGCCTACAGTGGTGAAGAATACTTTCTTCGAACGCCTGGAGGAAGCCAGAGGAGAAGGTACAGAAGGACAAATTCTGAGAGAGAAGCTGATGAAGAAGAAGAGGAAGTGGAGCGAGAAGGTGATCTCCTGGTTCAAACTCTTCTTCTTCCGGCTCTGGTTGTTCTTGTCGAGAATTCGCATCTGCCGGTGCATCATTTGCCATAACTCCTCCTTCTCTCATCTGAACATTCAAGATCCTGTCAGGATCAGCATCTTCTCTTTTCAGGGGTTCAGGCCATGGTGGTCGAGGTGCTTGTTGCCATTCTCCACCTCCATCTCTATTGACCATTGTCCTCATGACCAATCCTCTGTATCCACGGTAGTCTCTCAAAGCTTCTTGATGGTCTTGTTCACGCTGTAGCTCCATAATCCTCTCCTGTCGAACAAAGCGGGCCAAAGTCCTCAAGAATATGCCCACTCGCAGTCGATAGACATAGCCACAGCAAATGCCAAAGGCAAACACCAACAAACTGTAGGCGATCACCATCACATAGCCTTCCCAACCACCAGCCTTCGTGTACTGCTCATTCTTCTCCTCCTGGCCATCAGTACCTTCACCTCCAAAAGCAACAGGTTGGAGAAGCAGCAAAGTCACCATCTTCACCATGCTCGTGGGTATCTTGGAGGTCAAGTTGGAAGTACCTTCCATCACTGCATTCACCATCTCTCTCTTCACCTGCTTCATCTGCTTAGCCATGACCTTCTTAGCAACCTCTTGGTTGAAGGTGGTTTCACCAACTTTCGAAAATACCTCATCACTATCCTCCGCATGGAACTCCACCAGGCCGATGAGGTACATCAAAAATTATCTTCTTGATTTGCTGAGCCGTTTGGTTCCAAGATCAGCAACATTCCACAAGGTTGGGATGCTAACCATGACCATGGTCTCCTTCTTGATCTCCAACTGCATCCACAAGTACCTTGTGTCAATGTGTTTGAGCCTTCCAACACCCAAACGCTCGCTGAAGGCCTTACACGAGCTGCTATCTGTGATAGCTCTGATCAAAACAGGCGTCTTGCTCAAGAACGTCCAAAGGTCCTTCACTTGGAGGGCTTCTGCACTTCCTCCAGCAGCTGCCAAAAACTCAGCTTCGCATGAGCTCAAAGCAATGCTTTTCTGAGAGCGTGACCAGCTTGTAATCAAGCAACCATTCAGGAACATGAAGGTTGAGCTCACACTATGTCGTCGTTTCTTGCCACTGCTCTGGTCACCAGCCCAATCGCTGTCGCTGAAGCTCTCAAGCAAATCTGGGCCATGAAGTTCCTCCGCTTGTCCAAGGATCTCTGCTTTCTTACTCCTGCACCGTTGATACGGGAGTAACAGCCCATAGCCTTCAGTTCTCTTCAATTACAGTATGAGGTGCCTCACCTCTGCCTCTGCCAAACGGGTTGGTTTGGCCATGAACTGACTCAAGTTGCGAACTGCATGTTGAATGTCAATTCTATCTTGGCTGATGTACAGCAGCGTTCCAAGAGCGGATCTGAAGCGGAACTGATCTTCTCCTTCAAGACAATCCTCAGGGCCTCCTTCCAAATTCATCTGGGTGCTCTCTGGAGTGGCTCTTCCACTTCTGTTCTCCAGGTGATACAGCTCCACCAAACTTGGGATGTACTTCTCATGCGGCATGATCACCAGGCCACTGGACGTGAAGAAGTGCCTTTTCTTGAGGCATCGGACTGGCTCTTCTTCAGATTGTCCATCCTTGGGCAGAATCCCTGACTCACTCAAAGTGAACCTCTTCCTCATGGCGTCCAGCAACCATTCAACACACTCCAATTCACCTGCTACAATCAGGTCATCAACATGACATACGGCTCCGAGAGGCTTTTCTTCATGCCGGAACAAGGAGGGCAAACTTGGATGATGTCGGAATCCAAGTTGTTCAAGGTGATCTGACAAATGCCCATACCACCTGGCCGCAGCATCACGCTGACCTGGCAAACACTTCAAGAGTGTCCAGAACCTCTTCTGTCCTGGCACCAGGGCTTCCAACTCCTCAGGCTTCCACCACTGTGGCTTCTCCACCAGCACAAGCTTTACCTGGTCAACCAGAAGGAATGCATCTTTCACATCAATGAAGGTGAGCTTCCATGCCAAAAGCGTGTGGCTTGCCATCAACAATCTCGTGGCACTCAACGATGAAGTGGGAGCAAAAGTTCTGGAATTGGAACTATCTCCTGCTCGAAACTCTCGAGCTACAAAGCGACACCTCCGCTTCCACTTCTCGTCCCGAAACCTCCAATCATACACTGACCTGGTCGTGAGGATCGTGCCTTCTTCCACTTCCTCTGAGGTTGGCTCTCTGAGAACACCCATCTCCAACAGGCGTTGAATTTCCTCTTGTCCTGCTTCTTCCTCCACCTTCATCAATTCCTCCTCATCAAGCTCTGGAGGACAGCCTTCATCTTCTTCATCAAATCCTCCTGGAAGTAGATGCTCCTCATCTGCCTCAAAGTATTCTTCAACCTCCTTCTCCCACGCCTCATCATCTACTGGAAAAGAGGCTTGGTTCACGCTACCGGCATAGTAAGGTGCATACACCTGCTTCGGACTTTCTTCCGGATCTCTTCGGGCTACCTTCGGGATAGGCTGTGATGGTCCATCTTCATCTTCCATCATCTCCTCACGCGAGCCTGACCTCTCTACCTTTGGCGTCTGAGGTGCTCTTTCACCAACATCATCTAAACCCAGTGGAAGCGGCGGCACACGGAGGTACTTTCCTCCTCTCACATCTTCTGAACTGCCTGAAGCCTCTCTCTTTTCTCCTCTCTCCTCATCTACCTGTGGACTTTCCATGCCACCATGTTCTCGTGCATAACGTTCAACATCATCTGCATCCTGATCACGAGGAAAGTCCTCGTCTTCTTGCACATTCACTGTTGCTTCCTCATTCTGCTTCTTTGGCCTTCCTGGTCCACGAACACCTTTTGGAACCATAGGAGTCGCTGGCATGATCCGCAAAGGAGGTCTTTTGGTACTTGGATTTCGAAAGGGTTTGTCCTTCACCAAGAACAAATATGTGGGCCTCCAAGGATCACTTGTTCTTCTGATGGCCTTTCCT